TGAATCCCCTCTCTTTTCTCATAGTCCATTCATGACCTGAATAAAACAAGGATTATGTGAAGAAAGAAAAGATATGAGATTACTTAGATAGTACTCACAATCAAAGTTTGTCCTCGTAGCTTCATTGTCCTAATTCTGTAATATCCTAATCTTTGTGATCATATTCTCTTCTGTAATATACAGTAAGCATCTTTTGTTATGTTCTTTTCTATACACTTTTTTCTTTTCTAGACACTTCTACTAAAATATAAGCTGGTTAACATAATATTATAGTTCCTTGTTTCTGCACAGTGGTAGTATAGAATAGGTTTTATTGGCTTGCTGTTTAATAAAGCGATCAGATATCAGAGGGGTAAGAGGACTTTAAAAGTGGAGTAATTCTATATTAACAGAATGTAACAGGTACAAAAGATGTTAGTCTAATGGTGCATTAGTGGTTTTCAGTAAGCAATTAAAAAAAATGTGTGAGGTGGAACAGCATAGCAAATCATGTGCTTCAGAAAGATTACAACACCTCTTCCACAGCTGCTGATGGTTGCCATTCATTGTAAATGACAGCAGAGTCTTCTCTGTTTTAATTTGATTGATGAGTTCTCCGCAAGCTATAAAAATCCCATTTTCATGAGAAATGTCTTCCCACACACAGACCAACAGTGTCAGACATACTTAAAAGTTCCCTAATTTTCCTTTGGACTCTCCTTACTTCAGCTGACTTGATACCAGTTGATTCAGATGTTGTGAAGTGGAAACAACTGAAAATCATTTCTTTTCTTTCACAATTGCATGCTCCCAAAGAGCAGTGAAAATGCTCCTTTTTAAAAAAAAAACAACAAGGTTTATGACCATGAAGATGACCAAGCCCACATCCAAAGGCAAGGGTCCCCCTCACAACCAATCTGTCAGGAGCCTTTCCCCATGGCCCCAGCAGGATGGGGGGGCACCCTCAGCTGCACTGCTTCCAAGCTTGGGCCCTGAGCACCCCAGCCAGAACCCTGGCAGGGAGATGCACTCGGGTCCTTAGGGGTGCTAAGGGCCGTAGACCAACCACACAGCCATGGCAGCTTCCCACAGCATCTCACACCACACATGTGCTGTCCTGTTTGGAGCAGCCAAGATTGTATCTCATTTTAGGTGGTAAGTGTACAGTGCACCTCTGAAGTTTGTCAAGTCTGCTTCAATACCTCTGCAAAGAATATCAACAGTGCCAAACTTCTGCAGCTTCTCGATAACTGCTTTCTCTCGCTCTCTGCCCAGGCTGGGAAGCCAGCAGGCAATGAATCACTTTCTTTAAGAGTTCACCAGAGCTTTGCATAGCATTAATTTCTCTTTGCATGCATCTGTGTATAACACAAAACTAAATGCCATATAATAAATTTTAAACAAGGAAAATTATGTTAATTATAAAGTTTCTACAGTTTAAATACCTCATAGTAATATCCTGATAATAGAGGTGTAGTCAAGCACATTTGTAGGTGCGTTATCCTTTATGAAGCCGATTAAAGTAACAGTGCTTCTCTGCATGATCTCTGGTATTTCATTGGAGAAAACTTTAGCCTTTTAATTGTTCATTCAGATACCCTGCTAATTACTTAACCAGTAAGACAATATGTTATCTTCCCCCAGGCTTTACGAAAGTCAAATCTCACAGTTCATATAATTCACGAAGTCACTTCTATTAGATGATACTAGGGAAAACAAGGTGCTTCCCATTGGAAGGTACAAAAAGTACTCTGTGGTAACAAAGATACAAACAAAATTTATGGTATTTTTGAAGAGTCATCATTAGAAATTTTTTCAGGTGGCAGCTTTTTTGTAGTTTAAATTTTATACTAACTTATGCACAAATAATTTGCAAAAATTATACATGCAATAACTGTGAGCTGGGTGAAGAACATGTTAGGAGAAACACTTTGAAAATACTGATTTATCAAGCCATGCAAAATGAAACTTTCTGTATTCATAAACACCAGGAACAACAAGTATTAAACTTACTTTCAAAATATTTACGTAGGGTAGGATTTTGCATGGGAAGGATGTCTTTTTTCCTCCTCCAAATACAAAACCACAACCCATTTATAATTAAAAGTTCCTGAGTTTCTGATTTGCCCATCAGGCAGTTTGAGTATTAAGTGATTTTGTGTGGCTGAAACTGCCACAGAGAATAAACAATGGAAATAATAGGAGGCTAGGCAAAATCTGAGGTTAACATTAAACATAGAATCATAGAATAGTTAGGGTTGGAAAGGACCTTAAGATCTAGTTCCAACCCCACTGCCATGGGCAGGGATGCCCTACAATAGGCCATGTCACCCAAAGCTCTGTCCAGCTGCACATTCATGGATTTTGGTAGAGTAACAATTTCATTTTCTTTCACCTTGAGTGTTGGCAATCAGCACTGACCTATCCAGAGAGGTGAGTTATCCCAGGCTTGTGATCATTTGCAGGTTTTCAGCTTGTATTATTTTATCTTGTTTATGAAAGGCTGGTTTTTACTTGAAAATATCCAATAATCATGCTTGTGTGGTTCTACATTTAGGCAGTTATACGTAGCTTTGTAAACTTATCCATAGAAAAGCTTCTTTGATGTCTTCCTCTGCCTCAATTTATGGAACATACCTGGCGTCATGGATAAATGTGTTGAATTCAAAACAAGTAAAATGATCCACATATTCATCCATTATTTTTTCCCATCTTTTCCATGATTGCATATGTGCTTTCTTTTAAGAGACATAGCATCTCAAACCCATAATTGCTTTAAATACATTACAGAATACCATTTCATAACAAAACCTTCAGAATCTTCTCCTTGAGTTTTAGTTTAGAACAGTAAACTGCTTGAAGCTTAAACAAAACATTTGTCTTGAAGGAGAATGCTGTGTTTCTTTTGATCTGAAGTGGTTTGTCATTTTGGGGGACAGAAGGCAAGAAGGAATGATTTCAGAACTGACAGACTTGAATTTCAGAGGTAATAAGGATTTTAAGGAGCGTTCATTTTACACTGACTGAAACTGTAATTTGAAATTGCCATCTCCTTCATCACAAGCTTCTTTGTATTGCACCACATATATGGAAGGCAAGAATTTAATATTCATCCTCAGATTAGCCAGGGCAGGATTTGGGCATGAGAAAAAAAGAAAGGAGCAGGTAAGTGTAACACCTATCCCAGGTTTTTTTGCCTTATCTCCTCTCTTCCTCGCAGCAAAGCTAAGAGGAGTCAGTGCCTACAGCCTGTGTCTACAATGCTGCCTTCTTCCATGCACCAGACCTGCTGTCTTTCCAATCAGTGGAAAATTACCACCCACTATAATCACAGTTGTATCAGGCCAGTAGCCTTCCTTCAAGGGGAAAATCCCTGCTGTTCCCTCCCCTCTTATCTCTAACACCAGAAATACTACTACTTTTTTTTTCCTCTTTCTTTAAGTGACAGCAGGGCAGGATTCCTCCCTAACGTCTCTTCAGCAAAGTCAGAAGAACACACTGGGAGGAGAATTGCTGAAATAGTTGGGTCAAAATTAAGTTCTTAAAATTACATTTGAACAGTTGGCTCTTGGATCCTGATAGGCAATCAACTATCATCTTTTTCAGTCCCATCTTCTCACTCCTTTTCCCTCAGCTGCTGGTGAAACTGCTTTTATATCAAAGAAGCCCTTTGGAATCAGAAGCAAAACTGATCTCTGTATATGTTATCTATGAGTTAATACTTTTTAATAACTTGCTTTATACGAACTGACAATAAATCCATAAAATGCATTATTTTAGATACTTTTTAAGAGCACCTCATTTTATTATTATTTTGTCTTGCTACAAGGGAAGGAAGTGCTGCCTAGTTCCTCTGGCAATGTAGAGAAAGAACTCTTGAATATGTCAAAATGAGAAAAAAGCACATGAATCTTCGAAATGATATTTATAGCAGTGTATTCTGTCTGTGCTGCTGGAGGAGTCAGGAGTATGAGTCTGTGCAGTCTATACATGTTTGAGTTGCTCTTTCATTTGTTTCAGTTCTGTTTTTGGATCAGGATGCCGGAAGACAGTAACTGCAATACATGCTGGCATGTGTAGATGTGGTAGCTGACAGAAGAAAGAAATCCCTGTTTTAGACATGTGTGGTGAAGTCTGAGGATGGTTTCCAAATAACATTTCAGAATGCAAAACCAGCAGGTGTATGATAAGATTTATTTTAACAAATTGTCTGTTTTAATGGCCAGCAAAAAGGCACGTTAAGGCCGTGCTGTGGTCAAGAACAACAGGGACCCCTGCTCTAAGTAACCTGGAATGCAAGCTCTGACCATCGCAACATCCCCTGTCCCCAAGGCAGCTGCTCTCTAGGTTGTTTCCTGACATAGTTAACAATAGCCTCAGGCTTGCTGTACTTTATGCTGGAGGGTTTTGGCATCTCCTTCCTACATCTCTGAAGGTTGTTATACCAGCACCTCCCAACTTCTTATGCCAACAGGGTGCTGAGGACCCAGCTGATGTGGCCTTTTTGTCACAGGCTTCTCAGGGGACGGTAGGGAAGTCAGACCCATCTCTAAACATATAGGAATGTCATCCTTGTCTCATCGAGGCATTGTGAGGGTAGACATATTGGGCATTGCAAGTCTTCATTACTTAAAGAAGGAAGCCATATAAATAGTTTTGGTGAATAAGAAGTTATCTCACTCTTTCTTATTAACAGATGGAACCTACGTGAAACATAGATAATGTTCTTTTGGTTAGTGACGCTAGTGATGTTGCCCAGGTAACGATTTCAGGCAGCAGTAAGGACTGTGTAAGTTTGGAAGCTGTCTCTTTAATGATTTCCCATTATATACAAGAAATTTATTTTTTCTTAAGTCCATATACTAAAATAAAAACTGTAGCTCTGTTGAACTGTATGATCAAAATAGCACATGTATGTCTAGGCAGGAAAGGAAAGAAGGTGCATTATAGCTGTATGGAACAGATTTTACTTATGACCAAACCTTGCTTCTAATAACAAAACTCATTTTCTTGTTTTGCAGCTTGCAGGCCTGGATTCTATAAAGCATTTGCTGGAAATGTGAAGTGCTCCAAGTGCCCTCCACATAGCTTGACTTACGTAGAAGCAACTTCTGTCTGTCAGTGTGAGAAAGGTTACTTCAGAGCTGAGAAGGACCCACCAACTATGGCATGTACCCGTAAGTCAGATCAGTACCAGTGTCTGCAGTTCTCTTCTCCTGTGCCTTATGTATTTATTCTTGTATTTTAAGAAAGTCACGTGAATTTGTGTATTTTGTGAAGAATTCCATTCAAGATGACCAACAGACATTTTTAAAATCAAAATTCAAATAGCATGTTTCTACGTAGTGTAGATATCCCTAAAAACATTCACATGTTTTTTAGGTTGGTGACTTTTTAACTTGCAGTTCTGAGAGATCATACAAGGTGTGTAATCACTGTCACATGGATGAGGTTTAACTACCAGGATGTATTTTAAATACATGAAAATATGTTTGTGCAAAAACTGTCACATACCTGAGGAGTCATGTAAAGAAAAAAAAATGATGTGACTCTCCTGTCTCCCTGGATTTAAATTAAAATGAGAAGACAAATATCCCAGCACGATCAGATCAAAACTAAGCTCTCTAAAAAAGACAAGAAAATCATAGACTCATAGAATCAAGCAGGTTGGAAAAGACCTTTAAGCTCATCCAGTCCAACCCTTACCCCAGCACTGCAAAGGCCACTACTAACCCATGTCACTGAGGGTCTCGTCTGTGCAGTGTGTGAATGCTTCCAGGGATGATGACACCAGCACTGCCCTGGGCAGCTTGTTCCAATGCCTGAGCAGCCTTTGGGGAAGGAATTGTTCCTCAGCTCCATCTAAACCTCCCCTGGTGCAGCTTGAGGCTGTTTCCTCTTGTACCATCCCTTGTGCCTTGGGAGCAGAGCCCAGCCCCTCCTGGCTCCATCCTCCTGTCAGGCAGTTGTAGGCAGCAATCAGGTCCCCCCTGAGCCTTCTCTTCTCCAGACTTCCCCCCCCCCCCCCCCCCCAGGTCCCTCAGCTATTCCCCATCACACTTGTGCTCCAGGCCCTGCACCAGCTCCATTGCCCTTCTCTGGCCCCGCTCCAGCACCTCAATGCCTCTCTTGCAGCGAGGGGCCCAGAACTGAACACAGGATTCAAGGTGCAGCCTCACCAGTGCCCAGTGCAGGGGCACAATCCCTGCCCTGGCCCTGCTGCCGCACTGGTGCTGACCCAGGCCAGGATGCTGGTGGCTTCCTGGCTGCCTGGGCACAAGCTGCTCATATTCAGCTCCATCAGTCAGCACCCCCAGCTCCTTTCCCATGCACGGTTTCCAGCTGCTCTTCCCCAAGCCTGGAGCGTTGCAGGGGGTTGTTGTGGCCCAGATGCAGGACCCAGCACTTTGCCTTCTTGAACCTCATCCCATTGGCCGCAGCCCATGGATCCAGCCTGTCCAGATCCCCCTGCAGAGCTTCCTACCCTCCAGCACATCAACTCTCCCACCCGACTTGGTGTCATCTGCAGATTTACACATCCCAGTATGGAGCAGTACGGACCAGTTTGCACCAGTACAGACCAATATGGGCCACTAAGGCCTAACTAACCTTTAACTAACCTAAATTTGACATTAAGACAAAACTGATGCCCAGCAATCTAGAGGCAGAAATTCTGAGGATAGATTTTTATTACTTTGAGCAATATGCTCATGTCTAGAAATATACAACATAAATTTTCTTTTTACGTAATAAAATATTCCTCATAGGTTTTCATTCATGGTTCATTGCTCCCTGGGATTCATTTATTGATCGTAAAGCAACTATACCTGTTTAATCTCAAAATTGGGAACAAACAGCAGCATTGAAAAATCTGTGGGTGAAATAACTCTACTTACACATAAAATCCTATTAACACCTATTGGAAAATTCTCTGAGATACCTAGTTTTCTGCCTAGTATTTTGTTAGCTCTTCTGGTGGAGGATTTGATTCCAGTAAATTTTGTGCCACAGTCCTTTTGTTAACAGAATTCTATCAAAAATAACATGGCAAACAAAGTATACAAAAAGCTTGAAAGATGGAACCATAAAAACAAAGTACTGTTGCAATAGCTGATTTACAAAGTCATAGGCAGTCTGTAATCCGGAAGTCATTATGTAGACCAAGGCATTGTCCGTCTCCTAATAGTCACTAAAAATGGTGTTCCTCAGATTCAAAGTACTTAGCAGAAAGTTGTCTGATCTAACCAAAGGGTTTTCAGAGGGGAAGGGTGTCAGCTTCCAGCTCCTTAAGGGAAACAGGGTTCAGAGAGGCACCCCAATCCGATGCACACAATCTGCTGTCAGCTCGCTCTGGAGCAAGGCACGTCTTTTTTTGCACGAAATATGTAATGGAATAAGCAGTGCTGTTCCAGACTTTCTGCAGGAAAATGATGATTACAGATAGTTCCAATCAAATGAGTGCTCCAAGCACAGGCCATTAAAATCTTACCCACAGAACTGATATACATCCCAGGCACTCCTGACAGTTTCATGCTTAGAAAGATAGTTTCATTCATGCGTTGTGCAAAAGTGCTTCATATTATTTATAAGTCACTGGCTTTTCATCTCCAAAAGACAGTTCTCCTCTGAAAAAATTACCCGTACGTGGCATTATGCTTCCATAATTACCTTTCAAAGCACAGTTTTAAGCCCTGCTACCTGTTAGTCTTGATAAGGTAGGAAGGAGCGTAAGAGCCCTGTGGCATCAGCGAATAGGCACCTACAACACCGTGGTGCTTTATCAAACAAAAGCAGGGTGCTGAGAGCTGCTTTGGCTGAAAACTGTCGGGGAAGACTTGGTGCCAGACCTCTCTTTCCCTGCTGAGGTCAGCCAAAGCAATCGAGTAAGTGAGGGCAGGGAAGAAATCAGCCACAACAGGAGTACCAGTGCCCCATCTCACCCCAATTTGGGACAAATAAGAAAGAAAAGAGGCTGTGAACCACATCATGGTTCAGGGTCTCCATGCATTGCTTCTTATTCAGCCTAGACTGCAACGTAGCAGTACTTCATTGACTGTAACAGCAGATGTATTCATCTTATACCTATAATGATAATTATTTCACTAATTGTCAGCTCTGCAAATGACGCTGACATTCATGACAGGCAGACTGCATTCGTATCTTCTTGTGCTTCATCAGTAATGAAGAGTCTGCAGGCCAAATTATTCCCTAAGTGGTATCTTTAGCCCCACTGCTTTCAAATTATGCTCTTGGTTATTAAAATTATGTTTCTGTCATGAATACAGCCTCACTGCCTTCAGTGAATGTGTGCAGATGTGGCTAATTTAAATTTAATAAACAAAGATACAGATATGAGTGGAATTTAGATTGCTCCGTCAAAACTGTCATGCTTTACTGTAATAAAAGGATTTGAAAAGGTGGGGGGGGAAATGAGCCGATTTGACTAAATAGAAAAGGCTGTGCAGTAAGAAAATGCCTTTGCTACATAACCACTTTCAGGGCAGATCTGGCCTGTATTTGTATTGTGACATGCGACACGTGACAGAAGAGATGAGAAAGTTTTCTTGTGATGTTTTGAAAGAGAGTTGTTCTTGGGTTGAAGAATGACTAGTGGATTCCCCTTACAAATTTATTCATATTCAAACATTTTGAACCCACCGTATTCATACCTATTTTATTTGCTTCCCCAAGTTCTGCAAAGCTATAGGCCTAAGATAGGTAGATATATTATTTTCTCCCTCTTTTCATTCCTGTATAGGGTCAGGCAGTATTCCTCACTCCAGAACTATTTGTCAGTGGAAAACTTGCATATGCAGCATTATGGAAAATAAAGACCTTGATTTAAGAGACTGAAATTAAAGAGTGTAGCTTCCAGCATCCACTTTTTTCAAGATGAGCTTCAAATTTACTTTCATTAATTCTGTGAAAGTGCATACTGTATGCTTTTCCAAAATTGAACATTTCCCATTTTGTAAAAGAAGAGTGTGCACTTTGCAGAAAGGCATAATAGAAATCCAATTTTAATAAGAGGAATGAAAATTACATTAGAGTACATTGTTAATCACTTTCTCCTAGCCTTTTCCCATTTGATTGGCACCTCTTATCAATCTCTTGCTGCTACCCTTTCTCCTTATTGTATTTCTTTGCCATATGTGAGTACTCTATCGGTGATCTCTCTGCATACACAGTGAGCAACAAATAGCATCATATCTAATCCCCCATCTGATTACTCTGTACATAAACTCTAACATTTCCCACTACAATGTAATTGGATAAATTGATCCCTCTTTTCAAGATCAAAGGCAGGCAGGCTTGTATTGGGTGTCTCAATGCATCTCTTCATGTTATGCTCAAAACGGTTTTGAACCTGACAAACTGATGCTCTGCTCAGTAAAGTCTGCCACAAACTGTATCCTCTAATGTTGAGTCAACGCTGTATTCCAGCAGCAAAATCAAGCAACATGCTTGAAGTCTTTGGCTCTACTGCCTCTATTGTTAGTTTTATATATATATATCTAAGGATATATGTACTTGTTTGCAATTTACCATTGCACACAGATTTGGACTGTTGGTTTGCAGTCACTAGCTTCCATTCCTCACAGAAAAAGAATAGGTTATTGTGAAAAGAAAAAAATGTAATACAGCATTCTACATCAAGTGACCCTGCATATCGATGTTTTTATATACATATATGCATATAAAAAAGCAATTATGAACTCAAAAGGCACAGCCAGATGCTGTTTCTGAGTATTCTCAGAAGACACTGGTTAATTTTGGCCTCCTACTTTGAATTCAGCAGTCAAATAACACACATGTCCAAGAGTCCAGTAGTTGGTGACAGATGTTTCTCAGTTAAACAGCAACAAAGTTGTTTCCAGTCATCAGCCTGTAGTGTTTAAAATACTGCATTGCCCTCACTAGGCTTCTGCAGCATTGGGTTTGCTTTTCTCTCCTTCCATAAAGGACAAAATGCACTTCACAGAGGGAAGGGGTATGCAAAGCAAGATGAGGTGTGAAGCACTGCATGAGGCAGAAACTCAGCTCTGCTGCTTTTGCAGTGGGTCTGCTTCTCCATAAGACAGCAGTGGCAGTCTACTCTCCAGACACTGTAGAAACACTTCTTACATTATAATGTGCAAATGAAGCAAAAGGCTGCTCGCACTGAGGCTGTGTTTCATCTAAGAAGCTGAAGGGCTGCATATTTTTTTTAATGCTCATCCACCTGAACTGTTTGCATAAAACGCAAAGTCATGAATTTTACTGTGAGGAAAGGATCCATCATTTTTACCAATATACTTGTTTTCGTTAGAAATCAATATAAGGAAATCCCTGAGAGCTTTGCTCACAGATGTCTGCAGAAGGGTTATTGCTTCCAAGTCTTTCCAATGTGTCACATAATCTTTGTATAATTTATAAATGATAACAAAGCAATCAGGCCACGTTCATAAAAGCCCAGTGACACATAATTTAGCTGAATCTGAGGATTAGAATTAATTGTCTCTCTTTGTTCCAAGTTCTAAATCTTAGTAAATGATTCACTGCATGCCATTACAGCTTAATATTTGCATGAAATCACAGTTTAACTGGCATAATTTAACAGCAATTAAAAAGCTATTTAATCGTCATGCAAATTGGCATGAGGGGCCTTGAGTATGAAATGTGTCACAGGTTTTTTTCAGTATTTGCAGGCGGACAGTCGCATACTTTCAGACACCGCTAACATAATTGTTGTTTTCTCTGTTCTTTGAAATGGGAACGTACAATAACTCATGTTTTCTCTTACAATTGAGGATTATGTCCCAAATCATTAATATAGGAATTTATTTGCACGCTCCAGTGCAAATAAAAAATACCGTTTTAAAGGAGTGTATTTTATCTGCTGTATCGATGCAGTCTACATACAGTACAACAAAAGTCTGATAGAAAATTAAAGTTGACAAAGCCGGATAAAAGTCTTCAATTGCCTGGATTCACACCGATTCCTACTTTGGCCTGCCAGAGTTGAAGGAGTAACATGAAAAAAAAATGAGCCATGATGACCCATTGTCCTTATATCTATAGTTTATGTAGGATTAAATTTAAGCCACTTTTAACACATTGGCTCCAGTCCTTCAAGCAATTACACACATGCTTAGTTTTAAGTGCATGAGTATTACCAATTATTTCAAGGGGATTACTGATCTGCTTAAAGTTATGCACATATGTAAGTGCAATTAAGGCTCATCCTCCATATCCTAAAACTCCTCATTGCTTTTAACAGTGGGAATTTGTTAAGACCAGTCATTATTTAATTCTCACAGCATGTTTTTAGAAGAAACATAATTATTCCTGGCTTCCACACATAAATAATAAGAACTGAAGCTGAAGTAATCTGTGCTTAGTTTAGCTTATTCTGATCTCAGGACTGTTTTCCAGAGTAGCTAGAACAGTAATTTTCTGGGAAGTTTAGAGATTTGTCAATCTGAGACACTCTTAAGGTTGGAAGGGGCTTTTGGACCACATCAGCATCTCTGAGGCTGTTTTCCACACCATTGGAAAATGATGTATCAATATAATAAGCCTTTGTTAACAAGCTGCATTTATAAACACTTATATATATATATATTACATTATTTCAGATGCTTCAGTATTAGATTTATCCCAAGGTCACAATAAAAGATCAGGAAGGAAATAACATATTATCCGTGATCATAACAATTGCAAATTATAATTTTCATCTGACAGGTTCCAGAAATATCAATCCTCAGTACAAATGAACCACAAATGAGCTAAATGATTCCTTGATAAAAACTGAAAAATAACAGATCTTTACTCTCCAGGGATTTTTGGCTGCTAACTATAAACTCTGCACGCATAGAAATAGGAATAAACAATCATACATTCAAAATAATTTGAGCTTTCTTGACTAGTAAGATAATGCAAAGCAGCAGCACTTCCAGTTATTTTAACTATCAAGTGCTTGAAATCCAGCAGCTAACTCATCATTACTTTAGGGCAGAAATAATTTTAATGAAAACGTAGCCTCAGTTATTTCAAGTTACAAATAAATACAGGGAAGAAAAAAGTAACTCACATGTTCAGCTACAGTTCACAGAAAACCTTAACATTTGTTAGCTCACATTATCCCTCCCACAGCAGACAAACTTTTTTTCCCTTTACAAGCATTCCAACTTTTATACCCACATTTATGCCACATAAGAAAGCAGAGAGCATCGCTTAAAAATTACAGCTGTTGGTGAATAGTGACTTTTTTTTCCCTGCAACTATTACTACCTCTTTCCTTCATTAAAGTTGTTATTCATTCCTGCTGCTATGTGTAGGTACAACTGTATAGATCCTTACTGCTGTATAGTTCATTAGTAAAATGTAAGATATAGTAATGTTTTCTGTTAAAGTATGGTCCAGTTTAGTATTCAGGGTCATCTTCAAGAATGAAGAGCTTGAATAAATGGATTTATTTCAGTTGTAGTTGCATATGTCAGAACCACTCGTGGGCTTGATTTTCTAAATGACTACTTCTTTTTTGGTCAAATAAATAGCTAAAAGTTCAAAAATCAAATCAGCTCATCAGTAATTCTGCAGTAATTGCAGATTTAAAGAAGAAAGCAATAGTGATTTTCAAATGGATAATTTGAAAAAAGTAGGTTTGTTGGGTTTCAACTTTTTTTTTCCTGAGATGTCAGATCCTGATTTCTGTGTGAAATGTTATGAGCTTTGATATTTCGATGTCCTTCCTAGTGCAAAGTTCTGATCATTTATCTGACCATCCTTTGGGCATAAGGTCTTGCCTTCATGCTATAAGTTGTGGAGCTGGAATTTACAAGAGTGTTGTTCAGTATTGCTCTCTGTTTGTTTAGTTCTCCTCTCGTTGTCTCACAGTTTTTTATGGAGAATATTGTGATATTTTAATAATCTGACTCTCAGATTTACTGTGCTCTTCAATTTGTTGGGTGAAATACATTCTGTGTAAGAATTAGCTAATGTCATTTGCAAATGTTTCCCATAGTTTTTCAGTCTGCTTAAGAGGCCCTGGAGTAATGAAAAGCTCACTCAAAATCTGAACAGTATCTCTTAAGTCTTGCTGGCAAGTTGTATAAATCATGAAAAGCTACAAAGCAAGATAAAAGCTTTCAAAGTTCTGCTAACCATTGCAGTCCATGTGCCCTGTGATTTTTATGTTGAGAACTGGAATATAATGCTTATTCAACTCATTCAGCTCCAAAGCCCCCAGGGATCACCAGTAGAGTTAGCCACAGTCATCTTGTATATATCAAAGCCTGGAGTCTGTAGCCTGGAGTTCATTTTGCCAAATCTGTGTTTCTTACATGATTTTTATGGACGTATTTTGGGACTGTATACAAATTGTTTTTTAAAACTATGTGTCTCTAAGTGCTTGGTTGAAGTATCTTAAGTGGAAGAAGAATAATATAATAAGAAATGGAAAAGTTCTTCCATCGTACCATGGAAGCTGATATGTAAAGCCTCAGAGGATTTACATGTGATCTACACAGTAAATCAGCATAACAGCTTAAAACTAGTTGGATGTGCGTTGCCTGTTGCGGGAACCATGGGAAATGGGTCACTCGTACTTCATGTGACAGTGCATAGAGAGCTTCTTTACCACCTGCTTGCTAGCTGAGAGCTTTCCTATAGTCTGCAGGTTGCAACTGGTTTTGCATCCCTCTCCAGAGTCTTTAAGAATTAGTTGTATTCCTGCTTCGTGGCCATCCTATTAGACCTTTAACTTGCAAGGTTGATGTCGTCACTGTTATACTGATGCTGATGAGGTGGCAGGTGGGAAAGAAAAAACCTTGTAAACTGTCTCTTGTGCCTAATAGTCTTGGCTTGATGCCATCTAACTGTTAATGAACAGCAGCAAAGAAATCCCTCGGGATAAGCAGTGAAGGACAGAAAAAATATCTGGCACTGCAGAACTAATGCAAACAATTTTATCTCTGGTGGTTATTCCAAAGCTGTTATTTATTTATCATTCAATTTGACTCTTTTAAAACATCAAAGATTATAAGCACCAGGAAAGCCTACCTTCCTAGACATAAGGAAGTAAATGTTGTGGTTAAAGCTCTATGGCAGTATCCCACAAGATCATGAGCTATTTAGTGCAAGTTTGTGTTATCGAGTCTAGGTTTGACATTCCCAAGTCACTTTTATGTTGCCTTAAATTATTTCTGTATTAATTCTAATTTATTTAGATTATTCAGCTTTTTATGATTTCACCCACTTATTATTCCTGCTTAATTTTCAAGGATTTTACATTACTGATATATAACTCTTGTAGCTTCTATTTGCAAATAAATGCCTTAAGACTAACATATTTTTGTGGTTTCTTTTATCTGTTTATCTATTTATTTATTCTCTCCAAATTAGACAACTGTCACTTACTAGGCTTTCCCCTCCTTCTCCGCAGGGCCACCTTCTGCTCCAAGGAATGTGATTTTTAACATTAATGAAACAGCTCTCATGTTGGAATGGAGCCCCCCGAGTGATACTGGAGGAAGAAAAGATCTCACTTACAGTGTCATCTGTAAGAAATGTGGGTCTGATGCCAGCCAGTGTGAGATCTGTGGGGGAGGTATCCGTTTCATCCCCAGGCACACCGGTCTCATCAACTCCTCTGTGACAGTGCTTGACTTTGTGTCGCACGTGAACTACACCTTTGAAATAGAAGCCACGAATGGGGTCTCAGAGCTGAGTTTCTCTCCCAAGCAGTTCACAGCTATCACGATTACCACAGACCAAGATGGTAAGTGCCAGCGCTGTATGTCTGTTACTGTGCCCCTGTCATCTATACACGTCTAAGAGGGATCATTTTGTTTCTTGGAAGTCTGGGTCAGCAAGTTAGGATGTTTTGCAGATTGCTAAGTGGTATTAAGTGCTTTTTGTGAGGACTTTCAGCTTCTGCTGATGAGGGCATTAAATGCTTTTGGCACTTGGCCTTGACCCCATTACACAGGGCACGAAAACATACCTTCCTGTTTAAAATTAAGTGCAAGTTTTAATTACCTGAGACTGACTGTATTAGTGGTTCATCATAACTGGACTCTGCATCTGGTTCTTTTCCATGTCTTTCCTTACAATTTTAGTATTGAAAGAATAAAACACCGTAGTATCCATTACAACTTCAGAATTCAAAGGTGAAATGAAAGTGAATTCACTTCCTTTAGTATCCTTGTTTCATAGTACTAATACAGCATGCTTCACCGTAAGGTGTTTCAGCATCCGTATGAACCATTTCCTTATGTGAGGTATCCTAATAGATTTTCTTGTTTCTTTAATTGTCAACTTTGTATTATTGGTTTTGAGCAGTTTTTTTCCTGCAATTTCAGTTCAAATTGATGTCCAAGGTCAACTTTTATAAGAAACATGGGAAATTAAGAGCTCTGTGTTTTTGTTTATTTCTGCAGCCTATTCCTTTTCCATGTTTAGAAACACTTGCTGTGCCAGGAAACAGCATTGTAGCTTACCAACAAAGCAATCTATATAGCAATGTTGTCTTCTGGCTTGTGTTACTGTAGATGAGAAGGCTATTTCAAAATGATCCCTTGCTGACATTTGTTCCAGAAATGTTTTCCACCTGCTGTGCAGTGACATTGCAACTGTAGCTGAAGTGTTTAATGTAGAACAGGAACCAAACTGGTAAAGCTCCCGTTTTAAGTAGAAGACCTTTGATAATATGAAAGTATTTAGTAAAATTGCTAATGTTCAGGAGGATCCTGTTAGTGTTCCACTTGTAGGAAGGCCTTGGGTTCCTTCACTGATGAGGCTAGCAAAAATATGCTTACCTGTTTATTTAGGACAAGTAGTTGTGTTGATGAGTAAGTAATTACTTGCTTGCCTTTGGGCATACAAAAATTAACAGCTTGCTGTGATGATGATAATGACAGTAATGATAATACTAATAATATTCATTAAACAGAAAAAACACAGAAACTACTGACTTGTTGTTCATGTGAGGATGGTAAGAGAAAAACTATAAGATGCCTAAAATTATATATGCCTTGCACTGAGATTTGCCTTAAACTCTAAGGCTGTGTATCATGTTGTGAACCTATATCTCCCTTTTCCTTTCTCATTAAAGGAAAAAAAAACCACCATGGTCCCAGAAGCTACTGCTATGTATATTTACTTTTAGATGTTTTGTTACATGGTATTAAATGCAAGTCACCAAGCATGCACAGGTGAAGGTCACCAGAGGTATGGTTTGATTTTAGACTGGCTAACAGCTGTGTGAACACAGCTTATGATGTGTATTTAAGTGGTGGACTTTTAAGAAATAATACGTCTTTTTCTGTTGCCCATTCCTGGTTTAAGGATGTAGATTTTCACTGCAGTTTACTCAAAACGGGGAAAAGATGTTTTGATAATTTGTGACACACTGACAATAAACTCTAAAGTGTAAACTGCTTGCATTCCCTATAATAATTCTAATGTTACTAAAAATGCTGTTGGAAGGGCTTCAGAGAATTTAAGACCAGATTTCCAGAATATCTGTCAGTTTATTTGGGTATAAATAGGGAGCTCTGCAGGAGAAAGCATTGTAATAAGTGAAATGGTGGCGTCTATAAAATGTGGTTATAAAGATAAAACCATTTTTGTAGGCTTGCAAGCGGTGTGGTTGTATAAAATTGTAAGCACAGTAACTATATATTTAGCAGTAAAAGAGGAAAAGATAATGTCATATGAAAAATGGGAAAAGATTAATGGTGTTTTCATTGATGGAAATTATTGAGAGGACAGTAAACATTTCTGTGAGTTACTTTTAGTCATAAATAAGTGATACAGAAAAAACTAGGGCATCTAACCTCAGAAAAGGAAGCTGTAGAACTAAAACTTCAGAACATTGCAGAGATTTTACTGATGTTTATGAATCACTTTGAAGTTCTCAGATAAAAGCATTTGTGACCTTTTTTATTTGTATTGGTAGTCAGCTATCAGTAAAAATTTTATAGTTTTGCTTTTGCCGTATTTACCAAAAATACTAAATAATCGCCTCTACATTGCATTTCTTTTTCTGTCTGTCCCTCCAAACAGTAAATTCACTATTACAGTCTTTCCTTATAATCTTAATTACGCTGAAAGGGATAGTACTTATTGCATGGTGCTGCCGGTTTGCACACAGGTTTATAGAAAACAAAGATCCAAGATTATATACCTGATGGACTCTTCATTAAGGACTGTAGTGATAGGACAAGGGGTAACGTGTTCAAACTTAAACAGGGGAAGTTTAGATTGGATGTAAGGAAGAACTTCTTTACTGTAAGGGTGGTGAGGCACTGGAATGGGTTGCCCAGGGAAGCTGTGAATGCTCCATCCCTGGAGGTGTTCAAGGCCAGGTTGGACAGAGCCTTGGGTGCCATGGTTTAGTGTGAGGTGTCCTTGCCCATGGCAGGGGAGTTGGAAATGAATGATCTTAAGGTCCTTTCCAACCCTAACTATTCTATGAATCTGTGATGTGACAACAAATCAAAAATATCTTAATGTGTGCAAGGACTACATTACCAGAAGTTCAGACACAGTGCTTGAAACCAAATTTTCTCTTTTGATTTATGGCTAATATGGAACATCTAGATCGTATTTTTCCCGTGTTAATATTTATCCCATATTATAGTAGTGTGTGTGTATATATATATATATATATATATATATAGTATTTATAGATAGATAGATATAAATATATATATAGTATTTATCCCGTGTTAATATTTATCCCGTATTATAGTAGTGTGTATATATATAGTATTTATAGATAGATATAGATAAATACTATATATATATATTATTTATCCCATGTTATCCCCGTATTTATCGCACAACGTATTTATCCTGTGTTAATACCACCTTCTTATATGTAATTTTTTGTTACATACTGTTTTGAAGTTTTTGGTATCCATATTGCATGAAGTGCTAGACCTCTTTGAAATATATCAGTCTTCAGAAATATATAAAATCTTCAATTGTTGTATCTCTGTTAAGAATATAGGATGATATCTTCAGCTGTTGTAAATCCAGCCCATTCTGTTAGCTACATTAATTTATAGTAGCTGAGGAGCTAGCCTTTTATTTTCTTCAAGCATGTTGGATTTACTTCCTCTAGTGGCCCTTTCTTTTTGATGGTTTACATGAAATTAACAGGTACTTCTTTAAATGTGCAATTTTTTTTTCTCTTTTTGGAGAAGATAACTGCTGTTGGCATTCTGCTGAATAAAGTGATGCAATGAAGAGTACTGTAGACATCCATAGAAACTGACGAATTGCTCTGCCATAGGTAGTGAGTGGAGTAGTCTGAGAGCATCAGAGAGGGAGAATATTTGCTGACAGCAGAAGTGAACTAATTCAAAAGCGATTAAGGCTCATCTTTATGCACAGAGCTCTACCGCAACTAATATTAAAATTTAACTGCCTCCTCATGCAATCACCAGCATCAACAAGATTGAGTTAACTGCTCAGCTCTGACAATGACAAGAAGCGGACTAAAGGAAAGTAGCACTTTGAAAAGGCTTTGCAAACTGCATCCAGTTTGCAAATTGATGACTAAAGCATTACCAGACCTGATCAAGTACTGAAAAAAAAAAGATAATTATTAACATTAATGTAAGAAATACAAAATAAACTTTGTAGCATTCATGGTTTTTTTTAGTTATTAATTTGGTAAAAGTATTCATAAATTTTGATATTGGTTTTGGCTTTTTCTCCTCCAGACTTCATGAGGAAACAAAGTTCCTGCAGTCACATTGTCTGTCAGGCTCTCTAAAGAACTGTGAAACTATTAGCCAACATGAGCTCAATAACAGAGAAATAGAATTCACAGATACAATGTTCTTTTGAGCAGAGTAGTGACAAATCATAGCATAGTTAGGGTTGGAAAAGACCTTAAGATCCTCTAGTTCCAACCCCTCTGCCATGATCACTTAAGAGTCCCCAAGCTCTTGGTTGGGTCTGTAAGTTGAAAAGCAAGTTTCAGCTACATAATGCTTACTGGACTAGAGATGCAGCCAGCTGATCAACCACTTAACCTGTCTGTTGGCTAGTCACTAAGAAAAAATATAGGTAGTTCCTCTATGATCACAGCATGTGCTGTGTCTTGTCCAACACAAACACAGATGGGGTAGGGATGCATTAGGATGTGTAGATGCTGCAGATGGAGAGATGAGGAGAGGAAGCTGTATTCTACTTTTGTGTGGCTTAGTTGCAGAATGTGTTGAGATACCAAAATAATCATGACTTTAAATTCAGACAAACGGACAGATAAACACGAGGTTTTGCTCAGAAAAGCACTTAAGCAAAGTCCCTGTTCAAGGAAGAGCATTAGTGCGTATTAACTGCTTCCCCAAAACACTGCTAAAATAACTTGAAAACAACTGAAAGGTAAAACGTGGTTTTTGGAAATAATAATCAAAAAATATTTAACAGTACTGTTGTTCAGAAAAGTGCCTGGAAGCCTTTTCTTTGTGGGAGCAAGAAAGTTTTATAAAGCAATAAATATGCTGAGTATGAAGTAATTGTACTCAATCGACTTTAAATCATTGTGTGAAGAAGCAGAGAATTATATGCTGACTTGTAATTTATGTTTCTCTTTTGACTAATGGAAGGAAGAGACACCTCACTATTTAACTTTCTTAGCATGCCTTGGAGTCTGCATTGCCCAAAGAAAATTCAGAACTACTTGAGGTTTTTCATGCATAATTGAAGCAGCAAGTAATGAATAATTAAGCAAACCAGAACTTAAAACAATAGTTCCTATTTCCAAATAATAGTCCACATACACATTTACCCAGTGGATATTCCTGTGTTCTATTCCCTGAGAACAGAGGGGTTTTTAACGTTACACTATGCAGGGCAGTAGGAGAGTCATGAGACATCCTAAGTACGTGATTATACAGACAGACAGTGGCCTGCTCCATTTCAGTTCACCGTTTCAACTGCAGCACTGAGGAGTGGCACTCCAAAGCTATAGTGTTTCACTGACTGAATATGTTCCTCATTGTCTGCTCTGCATCTTCACTGTTTCATGCTCCTCCTGAGCTCACATTTCACCTGCAAGTCCCACAGCAGTGACCTCCCCTGAATCACAGTGCAGCCATGGGACACTTTGCAGGCATTGTTCTGCATGTCTTTCCTGCCTTGGTGGAAAGTTTACACTAGGAAAACGCTCCTCCTGCCACTGCATCCCAGAAATCTCATTTTCTCCCTCCTCAGTTCTGCAGTTTGTGAGTGACTGGTCCCCGTGACATCAAAGACCTTGTACCAGTGGACAAAGTTTGAGGCATGAGAGAATTCGCTCTGTGAGGGCACACACCCTATCACTATATTAAAGACCTGTCTAGTTTTGCGGTGTCTGTCTGCTGTTGGCAGCCTGTGACTAGCTGACATTTTCAGGCAGACTCTGAAACTGCAAATCTGGTAGGATTCCTTTGTCTAATACATTTTATTTTATGTAAGTCACAGGCAGACATATGCTAGGTGATGTTTCCTAATCTGATGGTAGAATCTTGCCAGTTTCTGAAGGGGATTGCCTTTCATTTGATTCCTGTTTCCAAATAAGTTGCAGCAAATGTATTGTTCCTAGTACAGGTGGCTCCTCAGACATACTTGTAGGCCAGTGTGGGTGGTGTGTGTGTAGCAAAAGCAACTTCTTACCAGTCGCTTAGAGCAGTGGAACTAAGGAATGCATGGGAGGATTTCAGTGTCTCTTCCAGGAATAAGCATGATTATCACCATGAATTAATGTCACATAGCATTATAATAACGATGCAGATGATGTAAGTTGTTAAGAGCCCAATCCAACTGTCACAAAAGTGTCTAATTGTCAGTACCA